CAGCCCGCCTCTGACCGATGGCACGGTGGCGCATGAAATTTTGGGCCAATATCGACCATCGGTGCACAGTCGAGACATGACAATGCGGCCGACCACATGACTGGCCACTTATTGTTGCTTACGGACGGAACATCACACGCACAAACACACTTGAATCTGCATCCGTCGTCGCCAACACCCATGATCATCAGCCCAAACCCGGACCAACCACCAGCCGCCCGCTTACTTGCTCCCTTCCTCAGCGCCATTCAGCCGTGGCGGCCACAGTGAACGACTGTGAGCCTAAGCCTTCTTGCGAGACAGGAATGAGGCATCACCGACGGCTGTCATTGCATTGTTGCGCGGACCAAGTAACTTCAGCCGATGCCCCTTGATGCGCAAGGAAGGGATGCTCGCCCGAATGACCTCGTCATCCCCGATGAGACCATCGCGGTGGTTGCATCGGGCCTTACCCATGGATGGTCCCTTGTTAGAGGGAGAGAGCATGATGCTATCGACTCGACTGTCCGCCCGACCGCCACCACGTCGGGGGGGGGGAGGACCCCCAAAGCAAGCAAATCCCTTGGCATTTGGTCAATCATGAGCCTTTTTCTGGTTGGGGCATTTTGCTTTTACTTTCGCACCCTCATCCTCTGGAAATTCGCATTCCGAACTCGAATGGATGCCTGCAAGGTCTTGTTTTTAGCCCCCCCCCCCTTCTCCGAAACCTGTTGGATGTTTTCGTAGAGCGCTTTCTACCACCCCCCTCTTCTGGGCCACCCATCACGAGAAACGGTGACATCCAATTTACAGGGTTATTCAGGGCGCTTCGCAGGCGGGGGGCTCAAAAAACCGCAATGGCCGTTAGCCAGCGCAGCCTGATCTACAGTTCTACACACGGACCAGCCGGAAACAGGGTGCTGTGCAGCGGCGTTTCCTTCCTCAGAAGTCCCCTCTCATTTTCATCCGCGAGGCGTTGGCTATCACTATTCCTCGGGCGTCAGGTCCACTCCCTTGTCTCTCCTGAACTGACAACCGGCGGTCTACCTGTGGTGACCGGGGCTCGCACCCTGCCCTCCTGCTTCCATCCCGTTTCCACTGCATCACGAGTGAACAAGGAAGAGCCAGGACCAATGTCCATCAGTTAAGCCAGCACCCGTTTCGTCGAGCGTCATTTTGATTGAAGAACGGGGGGGGGGGGGGTTCACCAACCCCATGTCCCTAGGCCGACCCGTTCAGACCATGACACGAGGCGCGAGGCTTGGACAAATGTGACATGGACAATTCGGGGGCAAGAAAATAAAAGATGTCGACTCCTTTGTCCTATACGGACTTAGCGATTTGTGCTCTGTTCGCCGAACTCCCGAATCTATGTGTTTATGAAGACGCTTGGTACTCATACATGCACACTTCGCAGATTGTGGTCGTTCTGCGGACAAGTCCTCTCACCTATCCGAGCCCTCGAGTGGCCACGTCGACATGGGCAGAGAGAGCTATCACCGAGAATAGGCTGCAATTAGTGACCGTGATGGATCCAGCTGGCGAGGTAGCGCAGTCAGGTTTGCAGCCAACCTGAATGGCACGATGGGTCTCTCAGACCCTCTCTGAACCCTGTGTGAGAGACCTGTCCCCCCCGGCGGAGTGCATCAGACTCGAGACTGGCTGACCCTGAGCCCACACCCTCCCCACC